TTTCAGTGGAGTGGAGGGCGTAATAAAAATTAAATTTTATTTTATTATGAAATTACTATTTTTTCATGGCAGATGGTGCGGTAACTCGCCAAAATTTTTATTCAAAATCACCATTTTTGGTAATCAGAGGGTTTGATATGAAGGTACAAAAAAGTCTCACCTATTAGTACAGAGAACCCATAATATTGTTACCCATAACTTTGACAATAACCAGTATATGATCCATCATTTTAAAGCTTATAATGTGGAGAATAAGAATACTGTACTTGTATATTAAAAAGTCAATTTTCATTTTGTGGTCATTTTGATGCTGGGTTTGGAATGGCAAGCCTTAAACAAATTCTTGTGATGCAAGTTCGAAAAAATTAAACTGGTTAAACATTGGAGTGGAATGTGATATTTGAAAGGCAACCCTGCACTGTTCCTCACTATCCTCACCTTATTGGAAAATCTGAAGAATACACGAATACCAATAATAGATTGGTGGCCATCAGATTGAAAGTGCTCAAAAGCTATTTTTTCGTAGGCATAATTTGTTACAAGCTGGTAAAAAAGGTCAACCCTAATCACCAGCTCTTGCCTCACATGGAATAGGGTGTTGCCATGCTGCATTTGGATTGAAATGCCAAAATTTACCAAAAAATGACAAATTTTATAGGTTTTTACCCAAAAATCGTATTTTGAAGCTAGCATCAATGGAAGATTCAATTTGAATATATTTGGTATCATACGAAAAATTTCAGACATTTTTCATTTTGTATTTCGGAGATATAGTATGTCAAAGGTTATCTCCCACAAAAATTGCACATTTTACACTTTTTTACCCCAAAATGGTATTTTAAAGCTGGTACTTTACCAAAAGATTCAATTTGAATATATTTGGTATCATACAAAAGCTGTTAAAATTATCTATCAAATGATGTGTATGGTGACATACTGTATTGTGTCAATGTTGTGACCCGAAAAGTACCAAAAAACTTTAACTGTTATGACTTTTTTTGCTAAATTTATAAATATGTGTTTTATTTATGAGAGATACTAAACTAAAAACTGATACTTTCTTGAAAACTGATAAATTCTCATCACTAGGCCTAGACACGGAATGGGATGTTGCCATGCTGAATTTTGGATTTTAGATCCAAATTTGATCAAAAAATTTATAAATTTTACATGTTTTTTACCCAAAAATTGTATTTTAAAGCTGGTCCGTCACTGAAAGATTCAATAGACCAAAATAGTCACCAAACCGAAGCCATTATATTATCAAATCAACAGCTAAGTGGCAGTTTTTCACACAATAATATGCCTCCGCTTCAGTAAATTTTGACAGTCTTGTCTTGAAACTCCTCAAACTTATTTATTTGTATATTGTATCTTAAAATACCTTATCAAAAAACCTTGGTAAATATTTCTTTAATAAACGTCACAGTATTGACCCGCTAGATTCGAAATGTAGTGAAAAGAAACAAATGGAAAATTTGAACATTTTTGCATAGCATCTTCGCGTGAGCACGGGCCTAGCCCTAGATTAGAGAGTCATACGAATAACGTTCTTGTGACTCATTGGCCATCGTAGTCAAAAGAAACATCTTATTCTACAATTCAGCAATTTAAGTTTGTCTAACAGTTTAATTATTTCATACAGAAATTGCAACAAAATGACTTGGTAAGCTGAATATGACCCCAAATCAACAGCGACCACTCTGGATGTGGCAAGTCTCGAGAGCGACAGGCCTAGGCCCCCTAGAAGGCCTCTCAAAAGTCTTCATATTTTTAGTCTGAATAGAAATTTAAATTAAATCAACCTTTAATCTCTTGAATCTATGAATCATTGAAAATGTGTCCATTGTTATAAACAATATCTTCTACCCTAACTCCATTAAATTTTAGACGATTTAACAGACACAGTAATTTTTGAGTCACAACATTAACATAGTGTAATGTGTCATCATACACACATCACTTGATAGATACTTTTTCATAGCCAGTCGTATGATACCAAATATATTCAGATTGAATCTTTTACAGTAGCAACGTACTAGCTTCAAAATACAGTTTTGGTTTAAAAAATGTGTAAAATTTGACATTTTTGTGAGATGACTTTCACAAACTATAAATCAGAAATACAAAATGGATAATTTTTTGTAGATGTTTCATTTGTATATGGTCAGTTTTTGAGAAAGTATCATATGAAAAGGTTGTTAGCTTAGTATTTTTCGTATTTATTTAATAAAACATGTATTATTAAATTTTGCCAAAAAATTAATAAAAAATATATTTTTTTGGCAATATTCTTGTCACAAAATTAATATAAAGTGTCATCATATACATCATTCGATAGATAAATAGACTTTTTTTAAGATATCAAACATATTGCAATTGAATCTTTCAGTGACGGTCCAGCTTGAAAATACAATTTTTAAGCTGGTTTTTGTTTGATCAAATTTGGCACTCAACAGTCCATTTCATGTGAGGCAAGAGCTGGTGATGAGAATTCCCCTTGTTGCCAACTTGTAACAAATTATACCTACACAGTCATTATTATGGCACATTCTATTGTATGACTTTCTATATTAGGAAAAAAATGATCACAGACAACAAGCCATATGAGATCTGTTGACATATAGAATTAATTATTTTCATTCTTCATCCTTTAAATTTTCTGAGGTTCTCTTTACATTTTACATTCAATAATGTCTAACTACTGATGGTGCATTGCAGCGGACATAAATTCATGGGGCTGCAGGCTTGGCTTGATCCCTTCATGAGTGGAAAAAAGTATACAAAAATTCTGTATTCTTATTCATTGACAATGTAACACAAACCTACCAATCAATATTTTGTTACTTAGCTGGTAGACTGATCTTAACTGAATAAATATTAATTTATGTACATTAATATTTTAAAATTACTGTATACGCCACAATATAAAGCGGATTAAATGTCAATCAAGCAATCAATCAACCCTCTGGATGTTGTGATGACTGACATTAGATATCAATAATACTTTGTACTGCATATTTTTGATATTTGAAATAAAACATGACCATTTAATAGGGTTTCAATGATTAAATTTAATCAATCTATCACTACCAACATTTACTTACAAGACATTAACTTTTATTTATTTCGTTTTCCTGTTAGTGTCTCGCCATAGAGAACTGCTGGATTGGAAAGGAAGCGCTCTACCCCCAAGCTACAGTTCTATGCCATAACATTATATTTACTTGAAATGTATAATAATTTTTATTCATATTTTGGATTTTTGAAATACGAAAAAATGAAATTATCATAGATTGAAAACAGAAGGGATGAACAGAAAATATGAACAAGGAATATCTAGAATAGAATTGTTGCAGGGTACTAGCTTAACAAACATAGAGTACGTCAATAACACAGAGAGATGGAAAATATGAAAAAATGAAGTTATTTTTAAATTGATCGATTAATCAGTTCATTAAATATGAGGTACAGATGAGCATCAAAAACTATCACATTCCATTTAAAAAGCCACCAGAGAAAATTAATCAGTGAACTGAGTTAGTTGTCTTGACTGATACTGTATTTAAGTTTGGAGTTAATTGATTGCAAATATTGAAAGGTGAACTCAACTGAAAATAATATACTGTATACATGCCAACCTAAATAATTAATTTCAAAGGTAATAATTTTTTTAACTAATGGACATTTTCAGTTATAAAGTACTAAAACACAATTCTGAATCAACCAACATAAGAAACGTCACTGGCCTGATCAATGCCTGTAATTAACGTTGCCAGTAATAGTGATGTAATTAAACATTGTAAAGAGCTGTCCCACCTGTTCCAGAAAAATCTACTTTAGAAGTGTGTGCTTTAAGACTTTTCTAAATAAATAGATTTGTGTTAAAAGATTGAATATTGTTACTTGACACTTTAGATTAGGCTCTCATTAGAGGGGTTTCAAATTGGAGAGTACCTGTACACGGTACAAAACATCACAATTTTAAAATAGTAGAATTACCTGCAATTTCTGGGCTACACGATGTGTTTTTCCTACATCTGTTGTCCACACACTTGCTGATAGGCCATACTTCACTCCATTGGCTCTATCAATGGCCTACAAATATTATAGTTATCAGATTAAAATTGCTATTTTGGTAGTCAGTCAGATGTACTCTTTATAAAATGTATAAATATTGTTTAATTAGGTATGAAGTAACCCTTCATTGTAATGCCCATTTAATTTTTTAGCCTAAAAACAAACAAATCATCATACGAACATACACAATTTGTTGTAGTGTACATATCACTCACTTCGCTATAAATAAAAATTAAAAAGAAAGAAGATTAGAAGGGTTCTTTGTCTACAACCTACAATAACTCCTTCCAGAAGTGGGTGTCGCATTCCTTGTGAAGAATACGATACCAACCACATCCGCAATTAAATTGAAGCCAAATAAACTTAACAATTGATCGGAGAGAAGGAACCATAAACAGCCTACAACAACTCTAATTCCTGGAAGGGTGTTGCAAAATATATATTATTAGTATTATATAACCAAACATACTTAACACACATTACATTGAACCTCACATAAAGAGAGCTAACAATGTAAAGAATTCATCAGAAACTGAAAATAGATCATGCATATTCTAAACAAAACTACAATAAAATGAACATAAAATGTTAAGTATATATTGTATAACTTGATTTCTGACCTTGAGGACACAGATTATCGCTTGACTATAGCTTATGTGTGTTCTAAATGTTCCATGTTTTCTTTAATTAAAAGGTTCTATAGTATTATTTATAGTGCTCCACAATTGTTAGGTTATTTCAAGAAACATAATTTTTTTTCCAACTCAAAACATTCACCAATATTATTTACTTAACTGTTTCATTTCACAACCACTTGGTTATTTTAATCTATTCACCATAAATCTCACACACATTTGCAGTTCATCATTCTTACAAACTACAAACAATTGATATCATATAATAGACACATATACTATTCAAATTTAGATTTCATATTTAAATTAGTTATTCTGGTACCACTGACAACTAGCCAGGACATTCAACTTTCTCTAAAGGCCGAATACCTACCCTTAAGCATGGTATGTACAATATTTTGAAGTCAACTTGTGAATGCTTTTTAACTGACTTTATTTATAGGATTAAAGAAAAGTAAATAAAATACTGGAACTTAGACACTGAGCAAAGTTTCATCCAGCACTGTTAAAATTTTGATCATCCATGTAACTTTTTTAGACTACTGATCAATTTGATTTGTCATTTACAGATGCAAAGTGTCGAGGTACCCTTGTGCAGAGGCATATCTCAGGTTCTAGAGTTTGAGATATTAGGAATATTCAAACACTTTCCTAAATTGCTTTTTTCTCCCTTATCTCAAACAAATTATATTTTTTATTATCTGCCAAAAGGTACCAAGTAAGCAAAATGTATTTAATTGGTTTAGCAAAAAAAAACACTATGACACTAGATTAATTTTGCTTTCAAAAATTATGAAACTAGACTAATTGTGAACTAGATTAATTTTGTGAAATACTATGAAACTACCGTACATTAATTTTGTTTTCCAGAATTTAAGGTATGCCCAGGATATTTATGGTGATTAAACTACTGCCGGGGATAAGTCTATGACGTTGGTATCAAGTTTAGCTATTGACGACCTGACAACCACTGTTGCACTGCAACAATACCTCAGAAGTTACAGTATTATTTACATTTAGAGGTCGTATGTTTTAATACCCATGATTTACTGGGGGAAAAAATCATAAAAAGACAAAGCAGACACCAAACGCAAAACTCACCTCCTTCTCAGTTGCGAATGACTGGATACAAACTACAGGCCCAAAGATCTCTTCCTGCATGCATCTTGACTGGTCATCTAAGCCTGTAATGATGGTTGGCAACATGAAGTAGCCCTAAGAAGTATTTTAAAAATGAAACATGCTTTTAAATACCCATCAAGAACATAGCTGGCATACAAGACAACATGCATATGATTATATAGAATAACACAAAATATTCATCATTCAGTGAAAACAATAAAAATGTAATAAAATTATACAGTAGATCTACTTAATGTTAGAGCCCCCTCCTTTAAAACATTTTTTTTTTAAGTGCAATATTTCATTAAGTCTTTTCCATTTTTCATCCAATTATTTTCAATCGCAATTTTAATTTTTATATTTTCAAAAATTAATCAATTTTTACAGTACTGCGCAATATTTTTTTTGTATTTTTTTTCTATCCTTGTCTGTAACGTTTTGTCGCCTCGTTCACTTCTTCTCCTGTCTTCTTTCCTCTGTAATCTGTTTGGGCTCTAGCTGTCACCTCCCTTGTCATTTATTTTGAATGTTATCTTAAGGAGTTTTCTGAATGTTTCCCTTGTTGTAATGTGTTCCATATGTTTATTGAATAAAAGTAATTTTTAATACAGTAATATAGATATCAGCCTGGTGGAAAATCATTTTAATAATGGCGATATCAATATATTTCGTCTGGCGCAAAAAATTAAACGCTGACTGACCAACCTCTTTCTAAATGCCACTATGCTTGGGCAATCCGACATTTTTTTCAGCCTAATCTTAAGGCTCTGTCCACGCTATCAAACATTATGGTTACAAAATATGGGCACATCACACAAATCACATGAAAACTGATAGTTTTTACTGAGCTTTATGTACCTGTTCATTTTCTTTAGGTAATGTCAGCTCATCTACAGTATCGCCAATTAATATTTTGCCTCCATCTTCTTTTGCTATACGCACGTAACCCCTGACCTTAGCACAATGATCCTCACTGATCAATGCTCCCATAGTAGTTGCCGAGTCTTTTGGATTGCCTACTACAATTTTCCTGCAAGAACCAATCAATAAAGCAATCAAATATTCAATCAAACAAACAAGAAATGAAGTAACTGATTGATAAATATAATAAATAAAACAATATTCTGATTGATAAATAATGAAGAATTACAATTCATTAAAGAGATAAATTGACCAAAATCAACTTTGCATTTAAGGTAAAGGTGGAACATAAAAAGTATCTGAATAATCATTTTATCAGTCAATGCAATAAGTAAAGTTATTCAAGATTAAGATTTCTCTATTTGTGTCCTCGGAAAATCAGTACATCACACTGCAAAAACAGAGTGGAAGATTAATACAAAACAATGAACAACAATATAATTGTTATTAAGCCCTCAAACTTAATTGATATTCTGATATGGAATCTAATGAATAGTGGTACGAATTAGTTGAGATACTACAGTATTTGTTTTACAGGTTTGTGATTTTAACATTTTACCAGAGGGTTTCCAAGTAAAAGATTTAAGGCGTGGGAATTAATTTATTTATATCTAAATGTTAGGAGAAGCAGTTAGGAGAAGCAACTCTTATAATTATTAATAAATAATATATAAATAATAATTATTATTATTAATATATTTAATTATTATATATTTTATATATATATATATATATTATTAATATATTCTTATTATTAATAGATTTATTTATTTATTTTTTTTAAATGTCAATTTATCTCATTTATTGGCCAATTTATCTTATTTAATGGAAGAGCTGACAAGTAAGAGAAGTTTTCTAATTGGGTTTATACTGAACATATTCCTTGCTCCTGGAAAATTGTTCTTTACTTTTCCAAATAAATTTTATTATTATTATAATTATCATTATTATTATTATTATTATTATTATTATTATTATTATTATAAATATTATTATTATTATCAATTTAACAATCAATCAATCAATTTAAACATTTCATCAATTAATCAGTCATTCAACTTATCTATCAACCTGATGATTCACATACATTGACCAATCAACCTCATAATAAGACAATAGACATATTGACTTAAGACATATTAGTATAAGACATTCAAGGACTGTTGAGAGAACAACACTTTTTAAAAAATAAATAAATCTATTATTATTATAATATAATCAATCAATCAATCAATCCATTGTCTTCATTTGAAATCAATGAGTGAATGCCAAATATTCCCTGTAATAAGAATAATAATTTAATGAATGACTGAATCAATTAGTTAAAAACTATTTAATTTCTTCTAGTTTCATGAAAATAATATGACTCAATTTGAGTCCTGGACATAGATCCTACTGCTGCAGAGACAAATCTCCCCTTGGTTGGCGAAGCTAGACTGAACTGCACGATTGATGCACTTGTCAAGATCTGCATCAGAAAACACAATTGCAGGATTCTTCCCTCCAAGCTTAAATAAAAAAAAAACACACTTAATTTATCATCTTGAAAACATGTATTGTATGTTCACAGACGACTTTTATATTAGAGATAGCTGGCGCTGATTTTTTAAGATAATGCATAATCTTCATTTTATCAATATCAGGATTCCATAGCATAATGATTGTTTTTTTTTTGTTTTTTTTTTTTGTATGTGTTGCTTTATTTATGTTGCTGAGATGATATCTATTTGTTTACAGTATTCATATTTTATATATTGTTTATAAAAAATGTTAGTAGCAGTATTCATTGCTGTTGGTTTTTGAATGAATAAAATAAAAATAAAATAATGGGAGCAGGATTAATAGTCTGATGTATTTAAAATCTACCAAGCTTTAGTTGATTATGAAGGCATATTTTTTAATTGTTTACACTTTGGTTCAGACTTACAATGATAGAACATAATTAAATATGAATGTGCGCACTGCTAGGCAAGAATTGTTAACACCTTGATTTCCATCAAAGAAAAAAAGAAGCTTGTGTAATATCATTAAATGAAGCTATGCAGTGGCAGATCTAGGAATTTGAAATGGGGGAGGGGGGTGAGGGAAGCCCAGAGAGGGACTTTCATAGAAGGAGGGTCTATAATACCTCAGCCCCACCATGGTTGGAGCTGAGGGAAGAAAATTTATGACTATGGCAACTCTAGAGGCTGGAAATGGCACCTTAGACTCAAAATTTGAGTATAATTTTCTTCTTTTCGCAATTTTTAAAAAATTTTGACAAATTTAGGGGAGGGGGGGCAGGCCGGTTGGGCCCCTCCTTGAATCCACCACTGCTGTGATAATTTGACTATATGTGCAGGACTTGGGAGAGAACCTTGTAAGATTATAATTCAAGGTTCAGTGATGGGAGGGCACAGGAGAGGAAGCCAGAGATTGAGATAGACTCATACATGTCACAAATTGATCTCTCCAAAATTGAAGTGTATTGCTCAACTAAGACCAAAAGTGTAAAAACATTCCAATGGTCACACAAGATCACATCTGTTTTTTTTTTTTAAACAAACAACTATTTGTTCAAACAACGAAAATGTAATAGGTGTTGAGCATTGATAGCCTGTCATATCAATAATAACTGGTTTTCATCTTCAATTCTTTATGCATATGATACCTCTAACGAAAGCTTCTTGCAATATGGTGCACTTGCTTCGATGATCTTTTGGGCTGTCATGGTGCCACCTGTGAACGAGATAATGGGAACATCTGGGTGACTAACAAGGGCTTCTCCTGCTTTAGGTCCGGTCCCATAAACAAAGTTCACAACACCTGGTGGTAGGCCTACAAATAAAAACAACACTGCAACATTAAAGGCCATGCACTTCTTATATCACAAAATACTAAAGCTCTGCCTACACTATAAAATTTTCCTTGACAAAAAACTGTTTTATGTCCATATATAGTCATGATGTGCATATATTTTATAGTCGCATGTTTTTGTCAAATAAAATTTAATATTTTGGACACGGTGGCTGTAGGATATATTTTCTGGGGAGTGCTAAGCTGTCCGACAAGGGGGGGGGGGGGAAGGGCTGATTGAAATATGGATAACTTTGGCAAGCACCACCATTAAAGGCCCGTAGGACTTAGGCGGGGGAGGATTGTGCGATTGATGAGATTTTTTTTTAAATAGGTACTTCTGGATGGCTGAAAATGGCACTCTCAGGCTTGAAAAATACCTTTAAATGTAAAGTTGATAAAATACAATTGTTACTACTTTCAAACTCAACTCAATAAACACACATTTCATTTCATAGGCCTATTTTTTTTTTGTTGGTCTGAATGCCCGACGATCTCTGGCCGGTTGGGCTTGACCTGTCTGATTGGGGCTTAAGTCCCATTCCCTCTGCTGGTGTCTAGACAGGGCTTAATGTCTCTATGCAAATTGATATTACGGATATGAAGCTGTACAGATACAAACTAATGGTAGAACTCGTTAAGTATGTTTTTTTAAGACTGGATGAACCAAGTCAATATTCACGTTACACCAAACTTATTATTATAAAGTAAAATATAGCTTATAAATCATAAATAGTTGAATAAGCCAAAAGAAAGGCCTGTTATTGTCATGTGATGTTAAAAAGACACTAAAAAAAATATCATCGCTCACTTCACAAACTAGCACAATCAAAGTACATTGTGTTAGTTCGTGAAAAAAAAAAGCAAAAAAAAACAAGCACATATTTGTTGTCAAACATTTTTGTATTTACAACACAAAAAGTCTGTAAGAACAACAGAGTGTATTTTGCTTTCATGAACTAATACACTATACTTTCATTGTGTTAGTTCATGATATGAACAATGATATGTTGGGGGAGGGATTAAATGAGGTCAAGACACACAAACCCATCACCACACACCTGCTTCGTTAAATAATTTGGCAAGCATCCAAGATGTAACAGAGGTGAATTCACTTGGTTTGCAGACACATGTGTTACCAGCAGCAATACAAGGTGCCACCTTGAACGTCAAAAGGTAAAGTGGAAGGTTCCATGGGCAGATTAGGCCAGCCACCCCAATAGGTGAACGAGTCGTGTAATTAACTGCGTCTGATTTCTCCAAGACAGTGGACCTGGGAATACAGTAAAGTAAAAGACAAGATTATAAATTAGTAAAAATTAATAATATTTACATTTATTAAATAATGTACATAACTGGGGCTTGATGGTTAAGAAGATACACATCTTCCAATCTCAGGATCCTGGATTAAAATTCTGTAAAGGCCCCTCAACTCCCTAATATTCATTAAATCACAACTTACATAGAGCATTTCAAATACATACATACTTAGATACTGGTTACAGGTATCAACATGAACATAATACATATCCAATATCTTTTAAAAACATAGTAAAGCGTACATACAAAAAGAAGAGTAAGTAATATTTTCATATTTGTCTAGTTAATTTTTAATCTTATTGACTTCTTTTCAATGTTTGTTATATTAAATGATTTTTTTTCATGATAAAAGGGCTATTTTCGTATACGTTAGCTAAATTTTTATTTCTTTTAAAACATGTTATTCTTTTTATTTTTTATAGATAAAAAGATTACATCCTACTTGTTGTAAGTATGTAGGAATGCTGTTGCGAAGAATCGGAAATTATGCACTGCTCTTGGAATGTCTACAGCCCTGGCCAAAGAGACTGGTTTGCCTTGATCCTGCGACTCTGCTTGGGCTAGCTTCTCTAGATTCGCTTCAATCAAATCTGCAATCTTGTTTAGGATTGTGCATCTCTCATTAGCTGTTGTAGCAGACCAACTAGTAAAAAGTAAATTTAAGTATAAGTAAATTTTCTATAATTAAAGGAAAAGGTTTTGTGTTTTGGTTACTTTGGACACAGTATTTCAGCAACTCTCATGTCCAAAACTTTGTTTATTTATTTGCATCTTTGAAATTGTTGTAACTTCATCTCTTGTTGATTTTCAAATAAAACTAAAATCGAGGAGGCTTTTTAGGAAGGACGTCCTCCAAAGTGTACAGGCAGTGGCATATTACAGGAGAGTAGGCCTAGCTAGGCCCTAATTAATAAGAAAGCGCTAGCGCATTAGGCCTATGCTAGCTCGGGTGGTGGTGGTGGTAGGCCAGCTACAGCTAGGCCTAGAGGCTACCTTGGAAATGCATTCTTTGCGGCGGCCACAGCCAGGTCCACTTCATTACTACTGCTGTCTGGAATACGAGCCCATACTTTGCCAGTCGAAGGGTCAAAACTATCTAGATGTGAATTGCAAGCAATGAATTCACCCCCAATATAGTTTTCAATATTAACCAGCTTGGCCATTTTTTCAGCCAAGTTTGGTTGCTGTTTTGTGCACACTGAAGGCGGGTATGGAGCGCTAATGTATGGCGCGCAAATGAGGTACTGTACCGTAAAACCTCGAAAAGAAACAACAGACCCAAGAACAAGGCCATCACGAAAATATCTTCCTATTTTGTTTGTAAAAAGTAATCTCGGGGTTCTTTTAAAAGATAGCAACGGTTTGGGCTTCTGTTCAAAACAGTATAACGTTGTGAATCTCAAAGAAAGAGAAATAAACAAAAACACTTATAACCTCCATGATTATAGTCCATGATTCACACTGATATTCTCTCTGATGAATAGCGTGTCAGTATCATTTGTAGGATTAATAAATTACCGAACTTTTATGCCCAAAAAAAAATGGTGTGTTGTTCCCATATGAATGAAATCGGTTTTTCGGTCAGTCGTTTATTTAAACCCTGAAATCTGATATCTTAACCTACAACGACTGTCTATTTTAGACGCTAGGCCTTACCATATACATTTTCGTTTTATATTTAACATCACATATTTGTAATGGAAATTGACCTATAAAAATGTTTACTATTCTTTTTAAAGGAAAAACAAAGTCGATTTATAAGGATCCACCCATTTCTATCCAAGAATAATTTCTCTATGTAAAACCTATGCATTCTCTATAGTGATAGTTCTATAGAAATATAATTCTATAGAAAAATGACCCAAGATTTTTTTTCTCTATATATGACCCATCCATGCTCTATAGAGATAGTGCTATAGAAATATAATTCTATAGATAATTACTTAGAAAAAAAATGTATATACTTTTTATAGAAATTCTATACAATTTCTAGATTATATATATTTTCTCTTCAGATTTTTTAAATATAGTGTCTATAAAATTTCAATTTTTCTTTCAGAAAAATCCTATAGAATTCTCGTTTTATTCATATTTTCTATGTAATTTTGAAAGATTTTCGATAAAATTGCTTATAAAGTCTTTAGAAATTATACAGTTAAATATATAGAATGAATAATATACAATTTCTATAGAATTATAATTTCTTATTGATTTCTTATGGAATTAATTATTTTTTACATCGTAATTGGGGGTTTATATTAAAATTCTATATACATTCTATATACGTTTTAAAGAACGTGTTGGCAGATTCCATGGGAAATAGGCCTATGTAAATACAGTATTTGACTGAATTTTATTTTATAAAATTTATGAAAACATTATAAACAATTGTTGAATTTTAAAATTATATGGATTTTATCAAAATTATCTACCTGCACTTTATCCCAAAGCATGAATCGATTTCTATGGAACGCCGTTCAAGCAACAATTTGATGATAATAAGTGAATCGACTATGATGAAAAAATTAAATTGTCGATGATGAAATGTGAAACGTCGAACGATGATGAAAAAAGTGAATCTTCGATGATAAAAAGTGAATCGACGATTATGAAAGTGAACTGTCAATGATAAAAAAAAAAGTGAATCGTCAATGATAAAGTGAATTGTCGATAATGAAAAAAGTGAATCGTCGATGATAAAAATTAAATCGTCGATTATGAAAAGTGCAATGATGAAAAATGTGAATCGTCGATGATAAAAAGTGAATTGTCGATAATGAAAAAAGTGAATAGATGGCCAGAAATGCCATTGTAAGACTTAAATTTGAATACAGTTTCCTTTTTTTCTCCATTTTTTTTTATTTTGCAGAATTTAGGAGAGAGGGCCTGGGCAGTCCCCTCCCCTGATTCCGCCACTTAAATCTATACTATAACCCTCACACTGCTTTCTAAGTCATTTACTTTATTCATTCTGCTATACCTGTCATAGCACTGGAATCTAATAGGGGTCTACTGTAATTTCATTTATTATATACCAATATCCAACAATGAGATATTGTCAAAAGGTGGGTGGGTTCTCGGAATCTGGGATGCAATTTCATGCATTCTCCGGAGTTAATAACGATGGTAAAGTAGTTTTGTGACTGATGGAAAGACTAATGATCAAAATAAGCCTATCATAAATGAGACCAGAGCAAGGGCGCAGATCTTTTTTGAAAGGTGGAAAAGGGGGTGAGAGGGCATTCGTGAGTTCAAACCCATCTGAGCACCACCATGATGAGGTCCGAAAATTTTAAGAAATAGAACCTCTAGATGGCTGGAAATTGCATTCTTATATATATTATAATCCTTCATCATCACACCATCATTATCGATAGTCAAAATTAAGCTTCAACAAATTCCTCAAGAATTTTATCAGAAAACTTTAATAACAATTGTTTCATGGCATAACATCAAAATAATACTGCTGCAACACTCTTCATTTATATAGTTCATTCCAACAATTTTCAGGCATACACTTGGCAGAGGATTAGAAAGGTACTGTAGTCGGGAACAAGGAGCAGGCCTTTGCAAAAATGGGCCTTCCACTGGAAAGTTTTTGCTTTTGTAGATGCTCGGAATGCGCTTTCCTGCCTCTGGTCACTGTGATGGGGAGTGGGGCTAATAGATATTCACATAAGTGAGGATTTTTGAATAAGTCAAAATTATGCATAGCACATATGCTAGATGCTAAAGGGGTCTAAATTATGCCAGATAGCATAATTATGCCAGGCCTAGTCAATATGATCCACGTCTTCGCGAAGCCACTCTGCTGGTGTCACTAGTAGACGCATAAGGCAACCCTGTAAAAACCTGTTCATATTTTAGAATCAGCGATACATCGTCGATTCACTTGTTCATCATAGACGTTCACTTGTTAATTATCGACGATTCACTGTTTCATCATCAACGATTCGCTTGTTTCATCATCGCAGATTCACTTGTTTCATCATCAATGATTAACTTGTTTCATCATCGACGAGATCATTTGTTTCATCATCGATGATTTACTTGTTTCAACGATTTACTTGTTTCATTATCGACGATTCACTTGTTTCATCATCGACTATTTACTTTTTTCATCATCGATGATTTACTTGTTTCAACGATTTACTTGTTTCATTATCGACGATTCACTTGTTTCATCATCGACGATTTACTTTTTTTCATCATCGACGGTTCACTGGTTATCATCGAATTGTTGCTTGAATGACGTTCCATAGATTTCCCTGATGTTTCTCGCATACTGGTCTGGGCTTAGCCAACTGCCAACTGACTGACCTAGGCCTGTGATCGCTCCCATCAGTGATGTTCTCACAGTGGCAGTCTCGGTGCAACTCGTCAACTTACGTAATACAATAATATGGGATGTGTTTTGGTATCTCTTATACACTACTTTATCAGGAATAGGCCTAACCCCAAGGCTTAGCCCTAAAGTAGTTTTGCATGTCTATTTTATTACTTTTATAAAAAAAAATCTTAAAGTTTATAATCTATAGTATTAGTCTAATTATATCTCCTCGGAAGTGCTGCAGCGGTATAGAGTTCAATGTCGATCAAGTTGCAAGATATGGCAGCTGATTACGAGAACATTTTGACTGATAATTTAAAAGGAATATCAATAAAGTTTTAACTGATTGTTAAATAAATAATGCATACAGAAACAGAAACTCTATAAGTCAGGTTTTAGAAAATTATATAGAATCAACCTATAGAATTCTGAAAATTGTTTCTATAAACATTCTATAATTTTATATAAGTATTTTTTAGAATGTTTATGTTTTTCTATAAATTCTATAAAACAGATTTATGAAAAGTCCTATATTAATTTGTGTAGCTCTATAGAAAATAGAGATGTTTCTAAAGACACTGTAAAATCTCAATTTTCTATACAATAGTCTAAAAAGCAACTCCATGGTATAACCAATGTAAGAAAAAATAAGTTGTCCCTGTGTAATTTTTATTCCAAAATTAGGATCCCTGGAACATTATCAATTTATGGGGTCTACACAGAGTGAAATAATACATAGGCCTAGTTGGTCTTATTTTAGCGGTAGGGATTAGGCCGTAATCACAGAAAGAAATGAAAACAATTCAATGGCCAATACTACTAGTACTGCAATACTGTACTTATTCTGTAGATTTTCCAACCTAATCCCATGAACAAATTATCTTACAGGAAGAGAAAACGGGCCTAATTAATAAATTAAAATTACAATTTCTATTACAGAATGTTAAATATTTAATTAATTAAATGAAATAATTATATTAACTTTCCAATGTCTGTATTGCAATTTGTATTGTATAAAGTACGGTAATGTATTAAATAACACTTACGCCTATTCTTTAGTAATAGTAGCACACATTCTGCTTAGGCCTGAAGGCCTAAACAGTGGCTGCTCTGGAATACATTTTCTGGGCGGGGGATTAGCTGTCCAACAGGGGGCTTGAGTTTGTTTGCCTGAGGAGTGTTTGTTCCCCGACAAAATTTGTGGCTTGGATGTGTAGGCATATTTTATATCGCACTTGATCCCCCCCTTTTTTTGGTACGACTGCCCAACGAGCACGGCCGGGGGGCCCTTGACTTGTCCGATAGAGGTGGGGGATTAAGCCCCATTGTCCCCCGGCCCCTCCACTGCTAGGCAGACTGATGCGGGTTGCTGGAGGCACTTATCTAGGATATGCCTTTGCCTAGGCCTCAGACTACTGAAGACCGGGCCTCCTGGTCCGACCTAGCGCAGGCTTAGTATTAGAGGTGCATAGACCGACAAGATCGTCCATACTTTAGGCCCAATCGTCTGGAAATGGACTCGATGTCTCTTTGGCCCCCGATCGTCCATCACACGACCCGGCCGTAGCAGCAGCACAAACCTATAACCCGCCTGTTGATGTTTTTAGGTAGAAGGTCGGTATAATTTTTACATGACGTATTACCATAAAAGCCACGCCCCCTCGGCTGAACCCTACTGAATTGTCTTCGCGGCAGCTGAATGAGGGCGACAAACAAGTGTGCAGAAGAACGATTACTATTATTAGTACTCTTCTAATCAGTTTTTACACGTGTAGGTTAAACCCATATGAAACCGAAAAAAAAAACTATAGCAAATCATTACTCCAACATACACAATAATCAAAATAATATGATTTAAAACAACAATAACACCAAGTTTAAAAATGAGATGGCGTTATGAAAAAATTAAAATAATGATAATTGGACTGTACCTAAGAATAGTATATTATTATATTTACTACTTTAATTACCTTTCTGTTGGCTGCCAAAATTATGATGGATTTCAATAAAATATAAATAATTTACAAAAAAATTATTACTATCGTGAAAAACTTCCATCAGCACGGGTTGATTGACGCACACAGACTTAAAGAATTGCCAATAGTGAATTAATCTTTGTCTGGAAAGCGACAATAATTTTCATTTACCACATCACAGACAAGGTTACCGGGATACGACTTAAAATGTAAGCCTGTAGTTTATATTCCATTTTGATATACACAATCCACCTACTATTATTAGTAACATTGTATCGATTATTATTATTATTTTCCTTTATCCCAAAAAAGTATATATTGTTCGTAGCCTATTATGCACCAGTATTTTCTTAAAATTA